CAATAGTCCTTCCCATGGCAACCCTACGATGTTACTTAAACAAGCAGGTAAGTGTACAAACATGTACAAGTTGCGCGATTTCAGCAAGAGCCATCCATGATGTGTAAAGCAGTCATTCGTAAGCGCGCGCATATACCACGACTGGACAACACAGCATACATACCTACTACAGTCCCAGGGGAGTCAGGGTTATTGTGATAAGACGGGACAAGTGGTCCGTGGCACGAGGAACATCCCGTTGACAGCTCAGACGGCGCGACGCGGGATGATCATCTGCGCAGGAACCCGAGGAGGCGATAGGCCGTGTTCATGACATGTCAGCCCTGGGAATGGGGGTAGGTGATACACAACAAGCAGGACAATGAATCAAAGAAATAGCGCATGTGAAGGGTACGTATTGTTTGTGATTCAGAGGGTGCACTCGGGATTGTGACTGTGATTATCATGATGCGTTATGTTGATGATGATTTGTGGTTGTTATTTGTCCACCACCAACTAGGGTTCAGATTAGCAGCTGACTCTGATCTTGCTTCCATTCTCACTAAATCAGCGGAAAGCATCGAAGCCAAGCCGGTTGAGGTGGCCAAGCATTCTATTTGGAGACTGTTTAGCACCAGTTGATGCCTATCAAGGCTGAATCGAGATCCAGCTTTTCTTATTGTAGCATCTCGAAACTTGTATTGTCTGTCTGCATGAACTTGGCTACCCTCATGTTACACAAACCAGGGTTGGAGACTCTCTGGCAGGTTTTGGGGTATTGATACGAGGCAGTTTAGTGAGTGTAAGAGAGATAGAGACTCAATTCTCTACTCCTTAGTTACAGGGTGAATGTAAAGGAACTTATAAACATATCAGTGCATACAAGGTCCAGCGCTGGGCCTGCGTTACTAGTGAAACTCATCATAAGATGAACTAGAAAGGTGTATGGATTCCCTCCTTCATTTGAGTCAAAAGAGGAAGATGGACAGGAAATACGTAGTACACAGGCCGTTCATGCCCTGTGTCTTCTTGCTTGGCTATATCGATCTTGTTCGCCGTAATTGAGCTTGTTCTGACCAAGACATTGGAATTTGTGGCTTGAGTCTTACCCTGAACTTGAGCATCTGCTGTCCAAGCATGTGGCACACTTGCAACCTTAGTGGAGAAGGATGATACTCGTGTCAGACTGTGAGAGGCTGAGGAGATGAAAATAGTGGCTGTGACTTGAAAGGAGCTGAATACTGACCTACATTATTACCTCTACTGTTTCTTGCTTGCTTTTGGTTCCAGGCAGGAGGTAGTTGACGTAGGTCAGAGCATAGACTTTTACTCTGTAGTGGTGAACGGAAGCCGAATCTCAGATCCGAGATACAAACAGCGAAGGTCTTCATCCGCGTCTCGGAAGGGCGAACGGATGGTACCCCTCCCAAGTTACTGTTACTCATCCATGCATGATGAGAGGATGCCGACGCGTGCATGGCTTTCAGATGATGCTGGTCCATGTATGAGACCGAGGTTCATTGACAGGATCCAGGGTAGTTCGAGTGAGAGGGAGTTTGATGGAGCATGATTAACAATGCAGAGAGACACAAGACTCTGCAGTGATTCCGGATCTAGCAGATCCCAGCAACACATATGAATGTGTCTCTTCTATATCGATCAGTCTCAGACCATTCTCAAGGCAAGGGCCGAGGCATTGTTGTCACGATGAGGCCAGCGACACGGCCCGAGCAAAGAACGTGAACTTGGCATTGTGCAACCACATTGGTACCTACATGCCTTGTGACAATATGTAGCAACGTTGGCGATGACCATCTATCTTGCATATTCATCTTCCGGGGAAACATGGCTGACAGCATCAGCGGCATATACTTACATATGTACGGGATAGCTGTGTTAACTCCGTCCCTCGCAAGCATCAACCAGGATCTTTCACCCACAACAAAGTGGCTATGTACGGATACAAACCTTCAGCATCTGACAGTCCCGGACAATTCTTTCCGGTCCCCGAGTAGCCGAGATAGGCAAGCAGTATTATCAAGATGTGCGGTCAGAGCAGTCACGGGGTTTGAACCGCGATACCCAGAGTATGTATACCTGAAACTGGTATTCAAGAGTCGGTGAGGTATTGTAGTGTCAGTGTACTAGGGCTAGGACCGCCGTGCCTGAGATTTGAGCATAACGAGGGCCTCTAGAAGCGTTCTCCGGTCTCCGGGGGACTCTGGTGATTGTTTCCGCCTGGTTTGGCTGGTCGAATGGGGCTTTCTTTTTGCTAGCGGATTTGCCCCGGTCAGAACAGAACGGTCCGCTGGGACAGCGTGTCAGGGGATGACCGGCTCTTGTCATTGGGGGCTTGTCCTACGACGGACCAAAGTCCATGACGTGCAGGCTGAAGATTGGGTCATGTTCAAGGCAGATTCAGATTCGTGTCTACCCAATGCGAATGAATGAATGAATGTCAAAAAGAGAAGATGATGCAGGCTTGAAGTGTCCACATGATCATGCTGATGAGCCGTGCGGCAACACCATACATATGTAGCATCCCATTGCATCCCACGACCGGCCCACTAAGAACCGTTGCCAACGTGGCTCTGGAAGCTCTAGCTATGCTAGCTGCAGTCAACAAGACAAGCCCTCGCTGGGGTGTCACAAAACACTGCATCGCATAGTATCCAGGAGTATGGAGCAGCCTATCGTGTAGTGGAGGAATAGGGCTAGAAAGGTTGAAAATTTCACTTCTGACCGTCTTTGTAAGGTCCAGGTCCCTTCTCAAGAGCCACTGCTGCTCGTCTTTGTAATCAACGGACCCTGCCGATGCTTCTGTGTTGCCCTGATGATAGTGACATTGTCTGAGAATATCCGAGACGTGAGATTTGGTGTTGTTGCGAAGCTTAGATTTAGACCAGAAACACCGATGATTGAGAATTGGTAGGACTCTTCTATTCTCTGAGTCTCGGTGTAACAAACCTGATGACCTATGAAGAGAAATGGAGCTTTGTAACTGCAATAAGTTAGCTACTCGCCCAAGTCCACTGCCTAGACAAAGAAGCGAAATGGAAATCCTCTTGCGACGATCTGAGAGCGAGTGGGCAGAGAAGACATTTCTGGTGCGTGAGCAATCAGGTACCGGCTACAGGGATGACTTCCGCCAAACAAGGGCTCTCCGCTCTGCTTACGATTGGATCCTTGATGTCGCGCCTGGTGCCAGGAACCGGTTGCAGGGGCTGTTGCGAGTGCGAATTTGAGAGGGACAGGGCTTTGCGGTTGAAGAAGCATTTTGAGGCTTGAGATGTTGTTGGGTTGAGATATTATAGAGAGATCCAGACAAAGGAAACTATTCACTAGGGGCAACAATTAGAGTTAATAAGAAGTGGCTAGGTAAGTACTTTATTCTGACTCCCATCGTCATCATCACCATCTTTCAGTATCACTTGGCTAGCTTGAGCTTGTTAGGCTTACCATGTCTGTCAGGGAAAGCTGTCAACATCGATCGCCTTACTCGAGAAGCATGAGCATTTATCACGGCATTGATCTTTGTGAATCATAATTGATTTTTAGGAACTAGTTCTGATGACCAAGGAGTTGCTGAGAAACAGCCATCAGCCAGCGAGTGGGCTACAACATTGGAAGGATTATTGAGTATCCTATCCTTCAACTGCGTTAGTCATTCAGCCCTGCTCCTAGTTATAATGATGTAAAGAGAAGTACAAGTAATATTACTTCACCGTGCATATGATAGTCGTAGAAAACAAACATTTCCATCTTATCAGTGTCAAAGGCGGCACAATCCGTCAGTCATTTACAGCCCCAAAGCACACCTACCTACTCAGACTCAGTGAGAAGAGGCGGAAGAAGATATCCATGCCAGGATCCAATAAAATGCAAAGAATTGCGACATTATCGTGGTTGAAAACTCTGAATAGCTCGTGAGGTCTGCTTTCTTTTTTCGTCTTTTCTTTTCTTATTGCTCTATGTGCATATATAAGTATGTCAGTATTCTCTGCCCTACGTAAATCAGTGTCAGCTTTAGCACCCGCGCTATCCTTCCTTCAATCTAGACTCGTCCAACCCAACAAGACATTGACTCTCTGTGTCTCCAGGGCTTTCGTACCAAGGCGACCCGACAGATTGTGTCATGCTTCAACGCTAAACGAAACTGACCAATCCAATTGATTTACCCCAGCCAGAACTTGCCCCTACGTGATTCCTTTCTGGTTCTTTTCAGGCCCCATCCCGGGAGCCAGCCCATGTCTCTTATTTTGGGGGGCGCTGCTCTTCCGGAAGACTCTCTGAGTGAGCGAAAAAAAAGGACAGGAAAAAAAGGTACTTTGATCTACGTACCCGGCTGCGTCAGTAATCGGATTTTTAACCAGGACGACGGGAGTGCGGATATAGGTACGGCCGGGTACAACACCAGCGTCACCTTTTCTCTCACGTCCACATCCATCACTTTACGGCCAAGACTACGTCCACCACCATCTTCTCGCCTACACCCACCGTCACTCCCGCCAACCACTACCATCATACTGTACTCACTCACTCAGTTGCTCGCTCGTTCGCTCACCACTACTTACTCTCGACCTCAACACCACCACCACATTTACGACAATAAACGATACATCTCGTCATCGCACCGTTTTCTCTATCCTGTACATGTCGACTGTTTCGCCCTCGTTTAGTTCGATACCCTTCCCACCTGTCTAGTCAACCTGCATCCGCCCTCACCCTTTGTCTGCCCAGCCATATCCCCCCCGTCCGCTTGTGTCGTCTGCCATATACTCAACAGACAGGTGCCAGCAGCCGTCCGGAATAGGTTGGGTCAAATTCTCTTTGCAGGCTTTCCCTCTTGGACATTCTCGCGGCCCTCGATCTCGGCCATACGCCCATTCAGTTCCAATGACGAGCCAACCACAATGATCTATTCTGAAATCTGCTTTGCAATTCATTGTCCCTGCTAAGGCCCGTCCCGGTGGTATGCTCGCTAGGCATTCACTCCACCATTCCCACAGGCCACCGTCATCATGGACAAGTCATCTGCCGTCTTAGACGGCACATCTGGCGTCGGTCGTGCGTCTCGTAACGTGACCGACCCATCTGCAACATCATCAAGCGCAACAACAGGAAGTCAGAACTCAAAACAATCCTCTGCCAACAATTCTGTAGGCCCTTCGCCCTTGGCCTCAAGAGATTCTTCGCCCACGCGACGTCCTCGAAGGACTGCTTCAGCAAACCGCTTGCCTGGTAATCGATCTCGAAAAAACAGTCAAACCGATAATAGTCCTTCACGCACGACACGACCAAGTTTGTCCTCCGCTGCCCCATCACGCTCATTGTCTTCGACCAACACTCCAACACTTGCACCTTCCCAAGAACAACAACAACAACAGATCCAAGCACCGACCCCACAAAAGCCAGGCTTCAACGCAGAACTTAAAGACAGCCCGCGATGGCCCGTATCGCCCCGCCTGCGATCGCCTCCCCCCCAATTTAGCAACAGACCAGCAATTCCTGCACGTCGCAGCGAGCAGGATCTTCCTTCCATTAGTGTTCAGCGACCTACGCCGTCGCCGCAGCCTATGGAGCAACAAACAATATCAGAGAGTGAGATGGAGGAGTCACAGTATCCATCTGGTATGCGAACTCCAGCTCGCGTAGCGTTGGAAACGGTTCAAGAAGTCAGTTTACCAAACTCCCCCAACCCTCCCAACGGGTCGGCCTTAGTGGAAAGGGTGAAGGAAAAGCTATCTAGCACCGACAACTATTCCGATACCGCACTTCCCGATGGACGGGCTCTACGAGCAAAGAACAGCTTGGTTGGTCAAGAGAGTGGTAGCGACACCAGCAACAACAAGGCGGAGACAAGAAGACCGACATCCGTTCCTCCACCAATAATTACTCGGCAGTCTAGCGCCATGTCGAATAAGCAAATGAAGTCGAAGCAGGATGGATCCATACAGACCATGACAGTAGAGACCGAGACTGTTCCAAGCGTGCCACAGGTTGCGCTCACAACCGCCCAGAAAAGTGAAGGCACAAATGGAACTCTAAAGACCAAACAGAGCACGGAGACAATAAAACCGAAAAAGGATAAGAAGAAGGTTACACGCAAACAACCTCCAGTAAATGCAGGGAATGGTGAGCCTGAACTAGTGACACTGACATTGCGGGATGTTGCTAACATCCATCCAGCATCTTCCAAAGCTGATGTTTTTGAGGCAACAATTGCCAGCGCCGTTGACGAAGCAAACACCTCGGATTCTGAAGAGACTTTTGTTTACGACTCTAACCCTCCAGATGGCAATGATCGGGCTGGACGGCGATTTCATTCAAGGACTCCCAGTGCTACATCTATGGCTAGCCAGGCTGATCGCCAGAATCTGCGATCCATTTATGGTATTATGGAGAGTGGAGGACCTGCTCATGGGCCCAAAAAGACGATGAAATTCGTCAACACTTTTACCAGCAACGGAAACGAGAGCCTAGCAGTCGAAACCGAGGATGGCAAAGGCTCTAACCGCAGTGGTGGCAGTGGGTCAACACGAGGTACGACGAGACACCATCACCACATTGGTCGCTGGGGTAGACAGCCTGGTAACGGCCATGCCTCGCTATTTGATAATGAGTCCCCGTTTCCGAATGCTGCGAGGTCAAAGCTCGTTGGACCTAATTCTCGCAATTCCTCTGGTCCACCGAGCCCTCGCAACGCTCACTCCAACGCTCCACGCCATTTTGGACATAAACGTTCTGCGATGCAGATGTCGTCCAGTTACGATATGGATGACACGACAGGAGCAGATGATGAGCGTACACCTCTTCTCGGCTCGGTCCGCTCAGGTCGTTCAGGTCGAAACCGGCGCGGGCCGCACAACCTACGACAGGCCGAGTCACAAACTTTTGCAAGACGGTCGTCGTACTTAAACCGGTTTGCGGCATGCTTAGTACTTACCATGATGTTCATGCTTGTCATTACCGGCGCTATCGGCTTCATGTTTGCCACTTCGCAGCCTATGACTGGGATCGAAATCACTGCTATCCACAACGTGGTGACCAGCGACCAAGTGTTGATGTTCGATTTGACCGTCAAAGCACATAATCCTAACATCGTCGTCGTCACAATAGACCACGCGAACCTAGAGGTTTTCGCGAAATCTGAATATACAGGAACAGATTCGGACTGGTGGGCTCGACCTTTCCCTCACGGCCCAGATGATATACGCGTGTCAGATGACCCCGAAAACGACCCTCCGCTGGATGATCCCGACCCAGATGACGACCTTCGACCCAACGTTCTTCTGGGACGGATCACAGAATTCGATAGTCCTCTCACCTTCGAGGGCTCTCTGTTCCATCAAGGCACTTCTTCTTCAACTGGAGAGATGCAACTCGAATACCCTCTGAACAATACAGTGGGGGGCTCACGACGTTGGGAGCGAATTTACCAGAACGAATTTGACCTAATCGTTAAGGGCGTGGTTAAATACACTCTTCCGATGAGCGCCCGTATCCGCAGCGCAACTGTATCAGGGAGGAAGGCCGTCAGTCCAAATTCTTCAAATGATCCTTCGAACAGTACCAAGGTTGAACCTTCAAACTAGATGGGAGGCTGCCCCGAGAGAGGCAGAAGCCCTTCTAGCCTTTCTTTTGTCAAGTCACCGTTTGTCTTGTGTATTTTGAGCGTGCATAGCATGTCATATTAGGGAGCAGCGGCGTTGGATGTCAACCTCCATCCACATTATGGCTGAACATGATATGGACATGGAGCTTCAAGATTTCGTTTCATTGTTTTGTTCATTGGTTTATAGACAGGCTCAACACCTATGCTTCCTGTCCGGTGTTTCTTGGGTTGTTTTCACTCCAAGCCTGACCTGGTGAGCACGTACGTGGTACGGTACACATTTGCTTGCTGGGTGTAGTCTTCGAGAATGGTTAGGGCTGGAGTTATTGCTTTGATTTCGTTTCTCAAAACCCATAGAAAGGAAAGCGGCAACTATACGTTGTAATTTTAACGGCTTATGAAACACACAAGAAGAGAAAAGAACGTCAGGCCGACTTGAAGAGGAAGATGTGGATGGGAGCACATAGCAAATGCTTCGTAGTTAAGACGGGTAGAAAGAGAGTTATTATATCGTTGAATGCAGAATTCAACAGAAAGCCTGTCACGGTCAAGAAAGAAACATATCCATGCAAAATCTATATGAAGGATATCATCGTGGTTTCTTGGTTATCTAAAGGACATAAGAGATTAAGACGCTTCCCTACTTGACACAGTATCACGGTCCTGACGGAGGTGAAGTCTTATTGTAGATGTTTACAGATAGATGAAAAGCCTCGTGGAATTTTTTATAGTGGCATTTCCTGGGATATCTATAAAATTGATACTGCCAATGAACGTTTGGCAGAGTCGTTCGTAGAGGGTGTCAGATTTCAACGGAAAGTGGCGGACTGTGGAGCCTAGAGCTCTCTGTATAATTTCGACCCGCATTTATGTTTTGGGCTGCTTCCTTTCTCATCTGAGCTCTGCGCGACCTTGATCTTCCCCCTTCAAACCTCGGGATTCGATTCAGTCGACACACTCATTATAGAAAGACAAAGGACTCGCCGTCAGAATGTCGGGGCGACGCGATTTCCTCAACCAGGCTGCCCCTGAGAACTATGTCGCTGGTCTTGGACGAGGCGCAACAGGTTTTACGACACGATCCGATCTTGGCCCTGCTCGAGATGGACCCAGCGAGGATCAGATCAAAGAGGCTCTTGCGAAACGTGCCGCTCAGCTGGGTCTTGCGCCGGATAAGAAGGGCAAGGATAAAGAAAAGGATGAAGACGAGGGAGGTGATGAAGAACGATATCAAGATCCTGACAACGAAGTTGGGCTCTTCGCTGGTGGTGTGTACGACAAAGATGATGAAGAGGCCGATAAGATTTGGGAATGGGTAGATGAGAGAATGGATCGAAGAAAAAAGCAGCGTGAAGCACGAGAGCAGGCCGAGAAGGACGAATACGAACGAAACAACCCGAAAATTCAACAGCAGTTTTCCGATCTAAAGCGAGCTCTGGCGACTGTTACTGACGACGAATGGGCAAACCTACCCGAAGTTGGCGACTTGACAGGCAAGAACCGACGTAGCAAGCAAGCGTTGCGACAACGATTCTATGCTGTTCCCGATAGCGTCATTGCGGCAGCGCGCGACTCGAGCGAGATGGGAACAACAGTTATGGACGAGGGCACTTCTTCCAACGCTGGAGGCAGCGATGCTGCAGATGGTACAATGACCAACTTTGCCAAGATCGGCGCGGCTCGCGACAAGGTGCTCAAGTCCAGATTGGAGCAAGCTGGGAGCGATTCTGCTGCGCCAGGCACATCAACTAGTATCGACCCTCAAGGCTATCTTACTAGCCTCAACAAGATGCAGATGAGTGAAGCGCAAGCTCAAGTCGGAGATATCAACCGTGTTCGCGAGCTTTTGCAGTCTGTTGTCAAGACGAATCCTACAAACGCTCTGGGTTGGATCGCGGCGGCGCGACTCGAGGAGTTGGCAGGCAAGAGTGTAACGGCACGAAAGACGATCGACAAGGGCTGTACACAGTGTCCCAAAAGTGAAGATGCTTGGCTTGAGAACATCCGACTTAACAGCGATTCTCCAAATGCAAAGATTATTGCGCGAAGAGCTATTGAGGCCAACAACACATCAGTCAGACTATGGGTCGAGGCGATGAGGCTAGAGACAATTCCAAGCAACAAGAAGCGAGTTATCCGACAAGCACTTGATCACATCCCAGAATCGGAGGCTCTATGGAAGGAGGCAGTGAACTTGGAGGAAAACTCCGATGATGCCAAGCTGCTCCTAGCCAAGGCCACCGAATTAATTCCTCTCTCTGTGGATCTCTGGCTGGCCTTGGCACGATTGGAGACGCCAGAGAACGCCCAGAAGGTCCTCAACAAGGCTCGAAAGGCCTGCCCTACGTCACACGAAATTTGGATCGCGGCTGCACGGCTACAGGAACAGCTCGGACAGGGCACCAAGGTCAATGTTATCAAGCGTGGTGTCCAGGTTCTGGCGAAGGAGTCTGCGATGCCCAAGCGCGAGGAATGGATTGCAGAAGCAGAAAGATGCGAAGAGGAGGGTGCCATTATTACCTGTCAGAACATCATTCGGGAGACTCTAGGTTGGAGTTTGGACGAGGATGATGATCGCAAAGACACATGGATGGAAGATGCGAGGGCAAGTATTAACCGAGGCAAATATGAGACTGCCAGGGCCATATACGCCTACGCTCTACGGATATTCGTCAACAGTAGAACGATGTGGATGGCAGCAGCAGACTTGGAAAGGAACCATGGAACCCGAGAGTCTCTGTGGCAAGTGCTGGAGAAGGCTGTGGAGGCGTGCCCCAAGAGCGAGGACCTATGGATGATGCTAGCCAAGGAGAAGTGGCAGGCTGGCGAGGTAGACAATGCTCGTCTCGTTCTCAAACGTGCCTTCAACCAAAACCCCAACAACGAGGATATTTGGCTTTCCGCTGTTAAGCTAGAGTCAGAGAATGGCAATGGTGAACAAGCCCGGAAGCTTCTGGAGATTGCCCGCGAGAAGGCTCCCACAGATCGTGTATGGATGAAGAGTGTTGTATTTGAACGAGTGTTGGGCAATATCGAGGCTGCTCTTGATCTTGTCCTTCAGGCTCTTCAGTTATTCCCTGCAGCAGCCAAGCTTTGGATGCTCAAGGGACAGATCTATGAGGACCTCGGCAAAACTGGCCAAGCAAGAGAGGCTTATGCCACAGGAGTCAAGGCAGTACCCAAGTCTGTTCCCTTGTGGCTTCTATATGCCAGGCTTGAGGAGCAGGCCGGCCTTACCGTGAAGGCTCGATCGGTGCTTGACCGTGCCCGACTTGCTGTGCCAAAGAATGCTCAGTTGTGGTGCGAGTCAGTACGATTAGAACGTCGAGCAGGTAACACAGCCCAGGCCAAGTCAATGATGGCAAAGGCACAACAAGAAGTCCCCAAGAGTGGTCTCCTTTGGGCAGAACAGATATGGCATCTGGAGCCTAGAACGCAGCGCAAGGCCCGCAGTCTCGAAGCTATCAAGAAGGTGGACAGCGACCCCATCCTGTTTGTGGCTGTGGCGCGCATCTTTTGGGGTGATCGTAAGCTGGAGAAGGCGCAAAACTGGTTCGAGAAGGCCCTTGTGCTGGACAGCGACTATGGCGATTCTTGGGCTTGGTACTACCGGTTCTTGTGTCAACATGGTACGGAAGAGAAGCGGGCAGATGTGGTGACGAAGTGCGTGCTGAATGAACCTCGACACGGCGAGATATGGCAGACGATTGCGAAGAAGCCCACAAATGCGAGAAAGAGTTGTGAGGAAATCCTGAAGTTGGTGGCTGAAGAATTGGAGCAATAGGGTCGTCTGATATTATAGACTGGCACCTGGGGATCACCAGGGATTATATCGATAAACGGATTGGAGTTCTGGATTTGGTTATATGGAATCAATGAGCTTAGACAGCATTCGAAGCGGTGGATAGTCTTTAAACACCCGCATGTCACCAGAGCGTGTACGCCTCCTTGTTGACCGTGATTCATTGCTCTTATACTATCGAATTACCTTGCATGCAGAGACCCAGAGCTATCTCACGGCCAATCTCATGCTGCTGGGCTATGACCATTCGCCCGCTCAATCCCAAAAGTGATACCCCAGGCTCCGACTTTGATTAAATAAGTAATACAGTTGCTTCATCTTGGTTCTTGATTATTGAGAATTCGCTTATTTGCCGCCACCGAACCAGCTCGAGATACCACCCTTGGCCTTTGCAGCTTCCGCCTCGACACGGTGGTCGAACTTGTCGACTACTCTCATGGCCTCGGCCTTTGCATCCTTGGCAACAGACTCGACATTGCTCTTGATGACACCCGCCTGACGGTCGGCTTCGGCAGCCTGCGACTGAGTTAGGATATGACTGCAGCCTCCTGGAACACAATTGTAGTGTTTTGGGTATATAGACGTACGACACTGTCAATCTTGGCGCCGGCGGCAGCACCAGCTCCCTTCAGCTCACCCTCAGCATTAGGGGAACGGCCGGGAAGGTGGCTCTTGATATCGGCAGCAACGCTATGGGCGTCACCTGTCGAGACGTTAGTTGAGTTATTAGCATTGGGGTCGAGAGCGCATACTCTCGGCCTTTTTCTCAGCAGCTCGTGGGTTGCCGCCAGCGGCGTAGAGGTAGTATCCAATACCAGACACAGCAGCGCCGCCAAGGATGAGAGGAGTGCGAGACTTGGACATTTTGAATGCTTTGTAGTTGTTGTTTGCGAAAATGTGTGTTGTTGTGATGTGGTTTGTAGAGAGGGTTGAGTTTGGAGTGACAAGATGCAATGACGGATGAGGAGATGATGGCCGGGTATTTATCAAGAGGGAAAGGAAAGCAAGCTCTTTTCTTCCTTAGGTAAGGTGGTTACCTCGGAACTACCTCATACCTCATGGGTTAGTAGGTACTAGGAAGATTCCCTTGCAAGTCAAGATTACTTGGTAGTGCCCCTCTTCTTCGTCAATCAAATTTCCATGTGCTCATATGCGAACCTGGAAAGGATGGTTGCAAG